CTCTACTCTCTCTACTCTCTCTACTCTCTCTACTCTCTCTACTCTCTAACAAGGGGATGAGCCCTGGTGTAATGAAGAGTGCAGGAGGACAAGCTACGACTATTATCAGGCATACTTTAAGATGTGGAGGTGCTGGTCTTGGATGGGGCTGGACAACGTCAGAAGTCACACTACACCAGGTTATAGTCCAACAGGTTTAGTTGAAACCACAAATTTTCACAGCACTGCTCCTTTGTCAAGTGAGGTGCATTTCACCTGACAAAGGAGCAGTGCACCAAAGCTTGTGATTACAAATAAACCTATTTGACTTCCGACTAGGTGTATTTTAAAAAATAGATGTCAATTACTACTCGGGATGACTTGCATGCCAAGCAGTGAGTAATAGATGGAACTAAACAATGCCACAGTGAATGACAGTTCTGCCGCATCCAGTCATAAATGGTGACAGACAGTGAAACAGCTCACTAGAGGAGAGGGTTCCATTAATATTCCCATTATCAGTCATCGGAGAGCTCAGCACATTACTGCAAAGACATCTTCAGGCAGAAGTGCCAAGCAGGTGATCCATATTGGCCACCTCCTGACCATCGCATATGCCAAGCTTCTACCCATTTGATTCATTCCACATGCTATCAAAAAACTCTTGAAGGCATTGATAGTATACCGGCCTTTGACCCCATCAACGTTCTGGGAATTGTACTGAAGAATTGTGCTCCTGAGCAATCTACACAATAGCCAGGTGGTTCTAGTATGGTTACCACATTGGCAATTGCTCAGTATGTCCTGTCCATGTAAAACAGGATAAATCCAAACCAGTCAATTACTGCCCCTTCAGTCTACTCTCGTTCATCAGTAAAGTGACAAAAGTTGTTATTGACAGTGCTATCAAGCAGCACTTGCTTAATAATAACCTGTTCACTGATGCTTAGTTTGTGTTCCACCAGGCCCACTCAGTTCCTAACCTGATTACAGCTTTGGTGCAAATGTGCACAAAAAGAGCTGAACTTAGGAGGGGAAGGGAGAATGATTGCCATTGACATCAAGACAACATCTGATAGGAGTTCCGCAGGGTGGTGTCCAGTCAGCTTCAGCTGCTTCGTCAACAGCCTTCCCTCCATTGTAAGGCAGGAAGTGGGAATGTTCGGCATCGTTCACAACTCCTCAGAAATTGAAGTAGTACATGTCCAAATGCAACAAGAGCTAGACAACATCTAGATTTGGGATGATGAGTGGCAAGTAACATTTGCACTCTACAAATGCCAGGAAATTACCATAAAGCCATACAGCACGAAACAGACCCTTCGGCCCCATCAGTCCGTGCCGACCGTAATCCCAAACTAAACAAGCCCCAACTGCCTGCTCCTGGCATGCATCCCTACAAACCTTTCCTATTTGTGTACTTATCCAAATATCTTTTAAACATTGCAATTGTATCCACATCCTCCACTTCCTCAGCATATTCATTTCACATGTGAACCATCCTCCTGTGTTTAAAAAAAAAACAAAAAAATGCCTCTCATATCTTTTTTAAATCTCTCTCCTCTCACCTTAAAAATGTGTCCCCTAGTCTTGAATCCGAAACCAAACATTACCTCTTTACATTCAATGGCACTGCTCAATTGCTAACGTTCCTTCAGCATTTTCTAAACCTGTGACCTCTACCATTTAGACAAGGTCAGCAGATGCATGGGAACGCTGCCACCTGCAAGTTTCACTCCTGACTTCGAATTATATTGCCCTTCACTACCACTGTCAAAATTCTGGAACTGTTGAATATCAATGTGAGTACCCTACACCCAAATGATTGTAGTGGATCAAGAAGTTAGGTCACTACTGCCTTCTCCAGGGCAATTACAGATGATCAATAAATGCTGTCTAGTCACTGATGCCCATATTCCCTTGAATGCATAATAAAAAAAACACCATCGCGAAATGCTATCAACGTGCTACAACTGATCCAGCTATGTAATTACGATGGTTACAAGAGCAGGTCAAAGGCTGGAAACTCTGAGCAATTAATGCACCTGACTCCTCAAAGCTTTTCTACTATTTACAAAGCACCAACCAGAAACATAATTCGGATATCATACAAGGCAAAGTTCCTGGCTGATTGGAACCATATCCACCATCTTCCAGTTTCACTCCCTTCACCACCAACACATAGTGGTAGCAGTTTATATTTTTTACAAGATCTGCAACAACCCACCAAAGCTCCATAGATTGAATATTTCAAGCTCACAACTTCTCCCATCTAGAAGGACAAGGACAGCAGTTCTACAGGAGCACCACCACTTGCACGTTCCCCTCCATGCTGCACACTATCCTGACTTGGAACTTTATCCTCTTTCCTTCACTCACAAGATCAAAAATCACAGAACTTTCTAACAGCACTGTCTTTCCTATTTCAAGAAAACAGTTCACAGTTACCTTCCAAAGTGCAATTAGGGACGAGATATAGATGATAACCTAGCTAATGACCTGCTAATCACATTTATTAATTACAAAAAAATCATGCAGAGAAAGCCACCATGCTGGGTTGTGCAGGCATTTCGAAGTGAATAGTCGTTCAGATGTGGAATGGGCAATTGTTTTAACAGTGTCAGGGCATTTAAGATTCTTCTATCACCTAGGTATAGCAGCTACAATGTCATATATTTCACTAAATTAGTGTTTAATATAATGTAAATATACGTTATTAAATCAATAATCTCATTTGAAGTTGTCCATTTTTGTTCTTTTGATAATAGACACATTCTGATGTCTCCCCTTTTTGACATTTGTTCACTGGCCCCATGATTGAGAAAAATTTTGAAATGTGGACCTTCACGTGAAAAGGTTGAACACCCCGATGAAGAGGAAACTTTATGGTAATTGATCTAGAAGTACTTGATAGGAAATTGTAATGGGAGGTTCTAAACTATGTTATGACTTGTTTTCCAGATGTACATTTTTACGCCTCTCCTTTTAGGATATTTCTCAAAGTATATCTGACCAAGTTTTTTTTGCCTGTTCTCATGTTGTCGTCTTTGGCTTGGTGTCACATTTTGTCACTGATGTTTTTGTGTGATGTGTTTTAAAATGTTTTACGTGAATGTCATTTGTATAAATGAATTGTTGACATTCTGGGCAGTATTTAATGGAGATATTGGGAATCCTGCATGAATTGTTGATTTAAAGGTATCAATTAGCAGTACTGCTGGAAGCCTATCCACAAGTCTCCCTGCTTCAGACTTAATAGGGGCAAAGGTAGGAGGGTGGTAGGATCCCACGAGCCTCCCACTTGATTAAATGCACCTCTGCCCCACCAAAACCACCACAGGGATTGGCATGAAATCCCATCCATCATTGATTGGTATAAGTTAGAAATGCATGTCTTCACATAGTTGTTGCCTAACCAAGCTGCTGAGTGTACGATTGAGGTATGAGCCTTCTTCAAAAAAAAGGTAATTTTTTTTAGTTCTATCTTTGCAGATTCCCCAAAATGTTGTGGTACCGGTCCTTAAAACTGGTGAAAACATTGGCGTTGACACATGATGGTGTGTGTGTGTGGAAGCGATGCCCATGGGAGAGAACTCGATGGTTATCTTATTCAGCTGTTCATCGTATCATTGAAAAAGACAAAAAAATAGGCTGTAACAGGCAGTTGTCCTCATTGTCAGTAGCATTTGAGGGTAATGGAGTGTTTCAAAGCCACGTTATTTCTCACCGAAGGACGCTGTCATTGTCTTCATGTGTGTCTGCGTCAGCAGTTTCAACCCATCCTGGCTGGTACGAAAGCTTTGCAGACTCGGTGCCTGTTCAACTAACACAGGACCTCCTGACTAATGTGCAGCAGGTCACAGGACTGCCATGGTGGGCAAACATAATTTGTACCACTCTGGCATTGCGAGCCACTGTGACATTCCCACTAGCTATTTACCAGATGTACATTATTGCCAAGGTGAGTGGGAAACTTCATTTCTTCTCAGTCAGTCAGGCATCAATGGTAACTTCAAAAACTATTGATCTTGATTTGGCTTGTGATCTAATATTGTACTTGACACTGGATGATTGCTTACAGAGATCCAGTGGATCAGTAAATAAATACTGCTAGACTTACCTTTAACCTTGTGTTTCAGAATGCATCCATTCACAAACTAAAATCCCCAGTTTTCTTTCCTTACAATCTATCTCAGGAAGGCGCTAACTATTGTCAGAGTATGTTTCATAAAGTCACTATACTCATCAAGAATGATGTTGTAACAAATAAAAACCAAAATAACTGCTGTTGCTCTAAATCAGGAAGAAAAACAGAAGTTGCTGGAAAAGCTCATCAGGTCTGGCAGCATCTGTGAAGAAAAAATTCAGAGTTAATGTTTTGGGTCCGGTGACCCTTCCTCAGAACACATTCTACCATTCCAGCATGTTGTTGTAATATCCTGTCACTGTTAGTAGGTGTTGTCTAGAGTTCTGGCATGCACTGTGTGTGACTTTCTAACCATTTAAATAATGACTGCAGTGCAAGCCTGCATTTTCAGTGTAATCTCCTTGTAGATGAGGCAACCCACCTGCACTTTGTCGTTGGAAAACGACTTTTAATATTAAATTGAGACAGAGATATCAAAAGACTATTGATCTGTGCATCACCTGAATCTCTCCTAATCTGAACTTTACTTTCCATTAGTGTAGACTAATGGCAACCAGCAATGGGAACTCCTTGATTTTTTTTTCCTCTAGCGCAGAGCTGCTAAAGCTACTTGTAGAAATTCTACCATTCCAGTATCATGTATTTCCCCGAGGTTAATCAACCTTGTGGATTTAATAATCTCTACTAGCCATCATCCAGTGTTAACCAACTGTCCCTATTGTAATTTAAAAAAAAATTGTTCTGTCTCACTCGCAGAATTAACAATTATTCCTGATCGTGGCCTTGAGGCGGTTGGCCATCCTTCTTGAGCTGCCGCAGTCTGTGAGGTGTAGGTAACACTCAGTGCTGATGGGGCAAGTGTTGTCGGACTTTCAGCGGTGATGACGAAAGAATGGTTGTATCCTCTTTTCTAGGAATTGTATGTGACTAGGAAGGGGCCTTCAAGTAGCAATTGGTCCACAAGCCAAACCATTTTCTAGGTGCTGATACCATGGGTTTGAAAGGTATTATCAAAGAAACATTAACAATTTGCTGCATATTTAATATATGACAATCACTACATTAGCAGTGGCAGGATTGACCTTGCTTGTCCTGGATGATGTGAGCTTGAGTGCTGTTGTAGCTGCACTCATCCAGGCAAATGGTGTGTTATTGTATCACATGCCTGACTTGCACCCTGTAAATGATGGAGATTTGACTGAGTAAGGAGGTGAACCATTTGCCATAGAATTGGTGTATTTCCTGCACACACTCGGATAAGATTTCTGCGCTGTCAATGTCAATGCTATGTCTTTGAACTGCAAGTTAGTGACCACTTTGCCCAGAACCAGACATTAGTCAAGTAAGGCCAGCAGCATGCTGGGATTTGGTGTGTTGCTGCCTACTGTAATTGCTGCTCTGTTTGCTGTCCTGCTTGGTGCTGCAGTACCCACTCCAGTTGTCTCCCCGCTGTGGTTGCTGTACCAGTCAGCACTCCATTCCTCATCTCACTTGCTACTCTGGTCACCTTCCCACTTGGCGATCCAGTAGTCCTCCTGCTTGACACTCTAATTCCCACTTAGTTCACTGTCCCATAGGATGAAACCGGGGGGATAATACCCTAGTAGTATTATTGCTAAACATTAGGCCAACACCTGATGGTGGGATCTGATTTCAATAAAAATCTGGAATTAACAATTCATGACCACAAAGCCATTGTCAATTGTCTGGAAAAGGCCATCTGATTCACTAATATACTTGAGGGAAATCTACTGTCTTTACCTGGTTTGGCCCACATGTGACTCCAGATCCACAGCAAGTGGTTGACTCTTAACTGCCCTCTATGTAATTAGGGATGGGCAATAAATCCTAGCCTGGCCAGTGATATCCACATTCCCATGAATGAATTAAAAAAATACTTTGTCTCTACAGATGCAGCTAGATTTCCTCCAGCATCTTCTGTTTGTATTTAGGATGGAAACAAAGTTTATTATGAGAAGTAGAAAAATTGTGGACAAAATGAAAGACAGCAGGAACTAATGCCAATGTCAAATAATCAAATTATAGGGTAAAGTTAAAGCAGAATTAAAGGCACTCCACCTGAGTACACGTGGCTTTCGCAATAAGGAAGGTTAACTGATGGTACAATAGAATTAAATGGGCATGATACAATTGCCGTTATGGAGATATGACTGCAGGGTGACAAAAGCTTAGGAACTAAATATTTAAGGATATTTGACAGTTAGAAAGGACAAGCAGAAAGGGAATGGAAATGGGGTTGAACTAATAATAAAGGATTAATCAGGAATATTAGTGAGAGACTATATTGGATCCAAAGAACAAGATGTAGAATTTGTTTAGGTGCAATTAAGAAACTGCAAGGGGCATCACAGAATGGTAGGAATTGTTTACAGGCCACCAATTAGGAGTGGTAATGTAGGGCAAATGTCTGGGAGCCAATTATCTTGTATCCCAGAGTGTTCAAAGATGTAGCTAATAAAAGAAAACTAGATGCATTGGTAATTATTTTTCAAAATTCCATAGATTCTGAGATCGTGCCTGCAAATTGGGAGGATGTAAATGTGACCCACTGCTTAACAAAATAGGGAGAGAAGGAAACAGGGGATTACAGACTAATCTGGCATTGGTGGTAGGGAAAATACTACTTGATTATAAAGGATGTGATAACTGGACACTTCAAAAATAATATGATATAGCAGAGGCAGAATGGATTGATGAAAGTCATTTTTGGCAAACCTGTTTGGGGATTTTTGAGGATGTTACTAGTAGAGCAGATAGGGGGTACCCAATGGATGTGGTGTATTTTAGATTTTCAGAAAGCTTTCAATATGTACCAGCACAGAAGTTAGTAAGTAAAATTCGAGCACATGGGATAGCAGGTCATAAATTAGTATGGATTGAGGATTGGTTAACAAACAGAAATCAGAGAGCAAGTATAAATGGGCCATTGTCACTAGGGATGGGCAATAAATGCTGGTTAGTCAGTGACGCCGACATCCCATGAGAGAATAAACAAAAATTGTCAGTTTGGCAGGCTGTAACTAGTGTTCCACAAGGGCCAGTGCTGGAGCCTCAGTTGCTTATAATCTATATCAATGATTTGGACGTGAGAACCAAATGTAATTTTTCCAAGTTCATGGCTGACACAAAACTAGGTCGGAATGAGCTTTTCGTCGAGGATATAAAGGGATTTAAAGGGAATTTGGGTGGGCTGAATGTGCAGACATGTACCTGATAGATGAAGTATAATGTGGATTACATACTTAAACAGTAAGAGATTGGGAAGTGTTGGCGCCCAAAGAAACCTAGGTGCTTTGTTCATAGGTCACTGAAAGCTAATGTAAGGATGCAGCAAGCAATTAGAATGGTAAATGGTATTTGCCTTTGGGCTTATTGGAAGAAGGTTTGAGTACCAAAATAAAAATGTCTTGCAACAATCACTTGGAAACTTAGTGAAACTGTACTTGGAGTAGTGTGTGCAATTTTGGTCAGTGCAGTGGATTTCTGAGATGAGATGAGGTTGAGATGACCAGAGCTGCATTCTCAGGCATTTGGAAGAATGAGGGGTGACCTCTGTGAAATTTACAAAATTCTTAGAGCTCAACAAAATGGATATAAAAAGGCTGTTTTCTCCTGGCTGATGTTTTTAAAACCAAGGAACAGAGTCTCTGATTAAGGGGCAAGCTGAATATGACTGAGGAATGTAGGATTTTGTTTACTTGAAGGTTGTTGAGTCTTTTAAATCCTGTACCCTGGACGGCTATGCAAGTTCAGTCATTGAATAAATTCAGTACAGAGATTGATAGATTAGTAGATACCAATGACGTCAAGGGAAATGGGGATAATGCTGGGAAATGGCTTTGAGATAAATAATTACCATGGTCTAAAATGGCAAAGGGGGGGCCCCTGAGGGGCTGAATGGCTGCTGTTTCCCCTACTTTTCTATGACTAACAAGGAGAGCAAGTTGGATTCTCTCCAGTTGGAGATGGTCCTTACTGATGTGGTACAAATGTTACTTGTCACTCGTCAAGCTCCAGTGTTGTTTAGGTCTTTGCTGTATGTGGAAATGGACTCCTTCACTATCTGAGGAGTTGCTCAATTTCCTTATCTTATGTAGGTGTGTGACGGTTTTGGGTTACACTGACGCATCATTTGGAATTTAAACCAAACAGTGCTTGAAAATGAAATACTGTGAACCAGCTAACCTGAAGAGGAATGTTCATTTTAAGTAAAAACTTTTGGGGTTCAGTTGTTTCATTCCAGATTCAGGTATCTTATCTGTGCCTTTCTTATCTTACCCCCTGTTAAACATTGAGAAACCTGAGGCCCTTGCTCAGACCGTTCCATAACAGTGCTACTCATTTCCTCTGGCTGAACCAGACTGAGTGTAGCCTCTGCATGCTATTTGGCTCCAAGATGAGTTGCAGTCCCCAAGGCTTTTCATCACACACTACCTGTTATCTCAATAACGTCTCTCATCTCCAGACTAGTCTCAGCCCATCTGCTGTTACTCTTATCCATGCTTTTGCCATTCTCCGATCTGTTGTTTCATCAGTCTCCTGGATAACCTTCTACATTATGTGGATTTCAGCTCATCCAAAGTTCTTTTTGCCCATAGCCTACCTTGCCCTAGATTTTTGTTTTCCTACTCCACTGACTCAGTGATTCCTAGTACCCAAGAGGTACCTTCAATTTAAAATTCTCATTCACTTCCTGTTCGAGTTACTTCTAATCTGAGTAAGCTTTAGCTTTGCACCCAGCTTCCCCAAATCCATCCTCTAAGTCATCCCTTTAAGTCATCCTCCATCCCTT